TGGATGGTGCTGCAGACACCGCTCAAGATGGAAAGCGAGCGACAAAAATGTATAGTTCAACCGCCCGACAAAAGTATATCATTGCCAGCAACACCATACACGAAAAATCTATAAAGGCCTCTTCACGTTGTCAGTAAGCAGCAACAATCCCTAAAAATATTCAACGTACCAACCCATCAAGTGTAATATGTACACTGTAAGCTTGTAGCGCACTACCATTGTCGTTGTCTTGATCTTCATTCACAGACCACCGAAATCCCTGTGTTTCAGAACTGTGGCTCGAATACCTGCGGAGGCAGCAGCTCGTAAGTCATATTCTTTTACTCTTGATGCACAAAGTCTGGGTCCGATTCGGAATGTGCAGGTGCTAATGCAAGCCAGGAGCGTGCAAGTGCTGAACGCTGATGTTGAACAAGCGGAGGTCTCGCCAAATACTTCCGCCATGGTGATTGATTGGGTTGTGTTGTACGAAGATATATTGACGTCGAAGAAAACGTTTTTAAAAGGTCAATACGGTTGGATTCTGTATAATCCGAACCGATATGCAGCCGTAGTGTGAAGTCGACCTGCACGTCGATGTGCAAGCCGTCGGTCGGACTTGGTAACTGGGTTTGAAGCTGGACGCACTGCAGAGTCGAAGTACAGCTTACCGACGATATTGCGCGTGGTCAACAGCTCTGAGCTCGCACTTCCAACAGATAGGACCCATATTCTTTGGAAAATCAGATTTATAATGATTTCGTTCAGATTTTCACGGTCGCGCAGATGTTTGGGCTGGGACCACGCCTGATCGATGATCCTTAGCGTTCGAGAATATCACGCTAATCTCGTGGTCCACTCCGACAACGCAGCAACCGGCATGACTTCAATTGCTTTCCAGGAGCGCGTGCATGTGTCAACCAGCAGCAATGTGTAGCACGTAAATGCTATGGTTAACCCTCGTCAGTTACTCTGCAGGTAGCGGAAGAATTTTCGTTCACAGTTTTGTCGTGGTACTTATGTGTAAGTTATTTGGTGTTCCGTTCATCGAGTCCAACTAAGATGGCAGGTCAGTCTTCCGAGTCTCTGGACGGTCACAACCACTCCGGTTTTTCTACCGCGCCACTCATTTTTATATGTACTATTTTCTACGACTTTGCTGTATGTCGATCCTTATGCTCTACACGCTCGTAGATTCCACAATATTCTTGTCAAGGGACTTCCGATCACGGTCGGCCGCTTTCGTGCGTCATTTGCCCTGAACACTGTCTAACGTCACTACAGAACCTCGCCGTCCATTCTAAACAACCTCGTTTATCATCCGTGAGCTCTCAACCATCCCAAATTGATGTATAGTCAGACTGGTTATGAGGCTATATTGCGACGAGCACGGCACATTTCATTTCGCATAATATCAAAGGCATGGTCAGAGTCGACAGTAAGCACGGTGGTACATGGTATTTACAGAGCGCCAGTCCAAGACTGCCGGATCTGGCCCATGGGTCAAGCTCCACCTGACGCTGAAAGCTCATCGGTGACGGGACCGCCCGTCGGACGCGAGCAAGTCGCAGCCTCTCATTGCGACGACCGCGGCACCACATAATTCTCAACGCATTACCAGAGCAACGCTTAAGGAATAGGGAAACCCCACCCATGTAACAGGTCCCAAACGTCATGGTATGACATTTGTCATATCCGAGAGCTCACCGAAACTTAGCACCGCAATAATGTTCAGCCGCCATCATTATTGATGCAGCCAACAAGTAACGAGAAAAATGTTGTGGTGAGTCCTGACCAGCCCGTATAGTATGACAGTATGAGATAAGAAAGATTGACACCCCAGTACACACCCTGCTCCGCGATCCTGCCCTGGATCTTAAATGGAGAATTGCGCTGAGAGTTCTAGGCCGTGCATAGCGGTAGCGATATTTATAAGAGTCGACGTTCATTCTCCACAGGGTTTGCCTCGCCTGAAATGGGTGACGACGGTCAAGAAGAATAGAAGAATGAACATGGTATTCATTTCAGAGCGCTGACTCTAACAGAACCGTCTTCAAAGGAGAAGACGTCCGAGGTGTGCTAGGAGGATGCGGGAGGGTGGCGGCCAGTGCAGGGAGCGCATAGAGGCGACAGGTCTGGCGTACTGGCTGCCAAGGGTGAAAGCCTGTGGCAGCACGATCAGGAAGTGGAAGCGGGCAGTGTAAGCGGGCAGCAGCAAGTGCGGGAGAGCGGCATCAGAAGGTGAGACGTGGCAGCAGGTACCCGCCCAGATTCAGATCCAAGGACTATTATTAGTTGGAGTGCAGGCGAGAGGAAGGAACTGATCTTTTGTCATTTGAGAGCCTTAAATAGGTGGAGCCTGTGCTGAGCCAGCTCCCTACTGGGACTGCCTGCCTCAAAATGTCGTTTGCAATGACGGAATCCCCTATTCCTGTTGCTGGGGTCTTACTTGTCAGGCGGATGTGAGTATGAGTCCTCCGCTTTGCGTCCTGGATTTAACCCCATGACTCACCCTTTGCGCCTTGTACAAATAGCCTCTCACACCATCGGACTTACACATCGTGTCCTGCCAGTATTAACCCTCTCCTGATGAGCTTGGCAGACTGAGTATGTTGCGACAGTGAGTCATGTTTATGTTTTCACGTTGGTACAGTAGTTGATCGCACGATATGCAGGTCGTTGCGCAGTTGATCAATATGCTTACTTCTGTACAAACATACCCGCAGCTGCCTCGACCAGACTCTTGAAAAACATTAGCATGAATTACTATGTGGCAATGACAATGAGTAGCAGTTGCATCGACAAAAGACAGTCATGTCGCTCGACTTGCATACATTTTTGCATGAATGCGTAAGAAAACCGGTGCATTCAGTCGACATCGAGGTACGTGTACGTGCATGTCCTTGAAGATGCCAGTGACACTGCTCCTCCTGAGCCACTTGATGAGCGCGAATAATAAATGGATAAGTTCAAACACGATACTACTTACATGACTTATGTAACCTTATTTTGGAGTCCTACCCTTGGTTAGTATTTCGGTGCGACTTGAGTTGGTTGAACGAAGAGGCTTGCATGCGCGCCCGAAAGAGGTATGGTCTCAATACGAAGTCTGGATTCTGGATGAATATATAATGCAGCTATAGCCCGCATCAGCAAAATCACAAATGACTTAACCTGCCTTTTTTGATATTTTCCCGCGATATAAGCCACGAAATGAGCCTGAGTCTCAAAAGACGTGTCAAGGCCACTCGCTTTCTTAAACTGTCTCAATTTGTCTTGTACCGACTTTTCACGTGCGGCACAAAACGAGAAAACTCGCAAAAGGGCAAAAATGTGTCATTCGAATGTCCTAGATATCATCGGAAAAGTGACTGCAGAAGATTCAAAAGATGGAATAAGAGGTAATCAAGCTGGACAAAAAGGCGCATAAATGACAGAGAAAGTCATTAAAAGCTGCATGAAAGGAGGAAAATGCGGTAGAAAAAAGAAAATGACGGTGCAAACCATGACGTAAAAGAGCAAAAGGTACAGATAATACGAGGGGGGGAGAAATTTGCCCTGATTAAATCTGAAAGAAAAATAAAGGATTTAGTAGGATGTGGCTAGGATAAATCTCGAGTGCAAATTACCAGACATCTTCACGGTCATCCATTTCGTCGTCTGAGTCGATGCTGGCACCAGGCTTCTTCAGGTGCTTGTATGCCATGGATGCTGTCAGGCATGTTGCTTCCGGGCCCTTCTTTTTTGCTGCCCGAACAAATGCGGCAGTTTTCATCCCCCATTTAACGACCGAGAATGCATGCTCCATTCCCGTCTCCTTGCCAGTAGCCTTGTTGAGCGTCTTTGGTGTCTTGAAACGAGTCTTCCATGCTGTGGTTGGCATGTCCGCATCCTCCAAATTTTCGATGCTGATGGCATTGTCACTGAGTAGAGAAAATGCATGTTCGAGCTGGAAAACAAATATCAGCCCATCCCAGTCAAAACAGGCATGAGAAATTGACGCACCAAGACAGCACATAATCCAAGAGCTCCAACAAAGCCACCCTGAGCTAGATTATCAGTATTGAGAGCAGGAACATCAGCGTGCCCAAGCGTGCGAGAGAGATGGGCAGTAGTGAGAAGCTCCAGAACGAAGGCTGAATGGAAGGTTTCATCTTCATCAATTTCGTCAGGATTCGGGTACAGGAATGCATATTGTCAAAGGAAGAGGGTTGAGAGCTCCTTTGCTGAGGTATCTCTGTTTGAGGTGCAAAAAGCAACGACGATGGCAAATGCAGTAGATCTGAAATTGCTGCACCATTCACTGACATGTTGGGTGACCTAAAAACATGAAATTAATTATATTATTCAATAAAACAAAACACAGACTTACAACACCGAAAACTGAACCAGATGTCACAACCTGGTACTTGATGCTTGGATAGACAACCTTGAATATTTCACAGCACGCATGAAGAAGGTTCTTGTCAGGGATCGTCCAAGGCTCTTCTTGCGCACCCAGCCAGAGAAAAATGGTTGGTACAAAAACGCGACCCCACTTGGTGTCTTCATGGCAAGCAGGAGGAAGGTCAGTGTTCAGATATGTTGAGCATGCCTTCAACACAGATTCCACCCAGCTGCCGTCACTCTTTAGCACCATGGTTGCTGTCTGCTCCTTCTCGGCTTTTACTTTCTTTGAAGGGGGGGCCTTGCTAGATGTGGTAGTGACCAATGTCTACCTCAAAATTAGTGGTGAAAACATGAGACAGGGGGGAAATACCGAAGTTGTGGTGCGTGGAGCTTTTTCTACCTTCACTTTGGCTTTGACTGGCTGCTTTGTGACCACTGCCTCAAATTCATCAACATCCATAATCTCTGAGTCCTCGTCGCTGTCGAGTGCTTCAATAACATCCACTGGCGACATCAAGTCATCACTACAATCAGAGAATTCAAGGACATCGTCATGGAGAGTCTTCCTCTTGGTCCCAGAGGCGGCTCTATCTTGCCTTTGAGCTAGAGGCGGCGGCACCAGGTCAGGATCCATTTCCTCTGTAAGTGCAACAATGGACTTGGAAGACGTCAGTACAAGGAGTGTGTTCAACCGCTGACACACCTTCATGGGTACTTTCCCTTTCGTAGCTAGCACAACCTCATGCTCACTTGAGTCATCAAGGTCCTCGTCTCCGAATGCTCCAACTAGGGCCAAGTCATCCTCACAAACAGCTGGAAGCTTAGTAGATGGCTGATTCAGGTGAGAATTTAAAGAAGTGGTGGCACTTGACGCAGATTTTTGAGACCTCGATAAAATGGTGGAAGGTGGAGGCTGGGCACTTGCGAATGAATCAGACTGAGAAGCGGTTGAGCTGGCCAGCTTCTGTGGAATGGTTGTCCTCCAGTTCTGGATACGGCCACACAGACTTGACTTCACTCTTGTTTTCCATGAATTGACAAAGAATAGCGTAGATTCAGTGAGCATCAACATTGTGGTTTGAGATTAAAGTGCGACTCACGGTACTAAAGAGTTGCCTTTCTTGTTCGTCTGTGCACATGCTTGATCATCATCAATGACCCCTGATTCCAACATCGTTTTCTTGCGAGCATTGTCAATGGCAGCCTTCAGTGATTGGTGTGGTGTGGTTTTCTGTCCTTTCCTCCTTTTCTGAATATCTAAAGTGTCTTCCGAGTCATTGTCGTTGCTAGGCAGGAAGTCTTCATCAATATCCTCTCCGAGGACTGCCACTTTGCTGCTAATTCCAGCAGCACCAGTGTTACCACTGTCTATATCAGGTCCACCTTCCTTGCTCGCAACACCTTGACCCTTTTTCTTACCAACAGGTCGAGGATGGGGCTTGACAGCCTTCGGCTTGTTCATCTGTGCCTGGGTCTGGGCTACTTCCATATCCGTCTCCAATGCCGCAAGCCAGGTAAGCCCTGCCACTGCTTCGGCTTCCTTGGCTTCCTGAGCTTCCTGTAAGCGCCTATCATCTGCTGCCTTTGCTGCCTTCATCCGGTGTTTTGGCTGTGCATCAAGCACTATCTGACCAGGGTGAGTGCTGGCATTTTCAGCGCAAGTAACACGCTTCGTAGACTGAGGCATGAAAGGAAACAGTGATTCCGAGCAGCAGAGATGTTTGTTGGTTGAAGAGTGAAGTTTACCACACCAGTGGAAATGAATGTGTAAGTTGGTTCAATGCTGTGCCAAATAAAGAATTGAACATAATTACTAAGGTTCAAGGTGTACCAGTTGATCGCAGACCACAATGTGGCGGAGGGCATCACGCTGGTCATTAGCCCTTGTTCTCTTCATTTTTCTGCTGGTTATCTACATGTCAGAAAATGATCACACGCAAATTCCTCGGTGACAGTTCAATGCTTTCCAAGTCCCTTGTGGAAATGTGGGATGCAAGCAGTACTTCAAGACTACTGCTGGACGTACCAAGCACATCCTTTCTGCCCATCCCATCATGTCTTCCCCACCTTCAGAGGACCACGATAATGGTCTGGCAGATGTAGAGCCTGGTATATTCCAGGATGCTCCTGATGATGCCAATTTCGCGGACTATTTGGGTCCTGCTGCTGAGGAACCAAGATCCTCCCCTCTACCTGACGTACACGTGGAGTTTTTTGGGCCCAGAGATTCACTCTATCGAAATCACCATACCCTTTTGGACGGTGAGTTTGTTTGACTTGTTATTCATCATTCCAGTAGTAGTCTGACCAGCAAGAAGGTCGCCCATGTGACAAGCATGGAAATTTTCTTCCTGACGGCACACCCCCTCTGCCTGCTGAGCCCAGGTCATGCAATGACTGGACCCCATTGAGAAACTGCGTTGAATTCGAAACAGCCGAGTTTCTCTACATTCAAAACCAGATGTCAGCTAATCAGGCTGACCGTCTGTTAAACCTTTGGGCAACTACACTCCTTAAACACGGTGATTCACCACCATTTGCAGATCATTGTGACCTTTACGCTACCATCAATTCAATTCCTTTGGGGGGGGGGGGGGTGAAGTGGCAGGGTCTCTCGTGCACATACTCAGATGAGAAGCCTGACGGAAACTACCCACCCTGGATGGATGGGAGTTATGATGTTTGGTACCGAGATCCACAGGAAGTTGTTTGCAACATGTTAGCAAATCCCGCATACTCTGACGAAATGGACTATCGGCCCTATCGTGAATATTCTACTGATGGAGATGAGCATCAGTTTCGGGATTTCATGTCTGCTGATTGGGCTTGGGACCAGGCAGTAAGTGCTTCATTTTGATTGCACTAGACTACCAAAACTCTCTGTTCTTCCCTCCCCCTTCTTTTCACTGTGCTAGACTACCAGAATTCTCCCTTTTTACCCCTTGTTCCTTCATTTATTAGGGCGCTAGACTACCAAAACTCTCTGTTCTTCCCTCCCCCTTCTTTTCACCACGCTAGACTACCAGAACTCTCCATTTTTACCCCTTCATCTTCTGCATTGAACATTTATTCAAGACTATCTAACTTCGCCTATTACAGGACATCATTACCGGAGACCCAGAGACACTTGGCTCAATGTTCGTGCCCATCATCCTCGTCAGCGATAAAACGACGGTTTCAGTTGCCACTGGAAATAATGAATATTATCCACTCTATTTATCTATAGGAAATGTACACAACAATGTTCGACATGCACATTGAGATGCAGTAGCTATCATTGGGTTCCTTGCAATGCCCAAAAGTAAGGGTTTTATATCTGATCTATCATGACGTGCTAACACACAGTTCAACTATCTAGCAATGAAGGAGTATGCTGAAGATCCGAAGTTTCGTGCATTCAGACGCCAGTTGTTTCATTCATTGCTCTCCCGCATACTCGAAACCCTTAGGCCAGGGATGACAAAGCCAGAAGTTGCGAAGTTTGGAGATGGGCATTTTCGGTGGGTGATTTATGGCTTGGGGCCTTACATAGCGGATTATGAGGAGCAAGTGCTCCTTGCATGTATAGTGAGTCACTGGTGTCTGAGGTAAGTTTCATTTTGTGTCATTTTCAGGCACCGGGACTAAGTTGATTCTAGATGCTGTGCACATCGTAAAGACCTTGATGCAGGTGCACTCCTTCGATGCCATGACCACACTGAAGCCCTCGTCGACACTGGCACGTATACACAGCTCTGGTTTGAGTTTGGAATAATCAGCAATCTCGTTGTAAGTCTTTCGCTTCCACCTGTCGGGCGGGCTTCACTAACTTTCACATACTTTAGCCATTCACGAACAACTTCCCATGAGCCGACATTTACCACCTGATTGCCCCTGACCTTTTGCATCAAGTTATTAAGGGTGCCTTCAAGGACCATCTCATGGCCTGGGTGGAGTTATATATCATGAAGACGCATGGAAAACGCGATGGCCTCCACATCTTAGATGACATTGACCACAGGTGGGTCATTTACATTTCGCTTCTGGTGCTGTGCCGCTGCACTCGAATCAGACTCCTTGACTAACTTCCCTCTCACTTAAGAATAGTGGCTGTTGCCTCATTTGCAGGCCTGCGCCACTTCCCGCAAGGGCGGGGCTTCAAGCAGTGGACGGGGGATGACTCGAAAGCCCTCATGAAGGTAAAAAAATACTTTTTTTGAATTCATTTCACTGAGATATTGTTTTTACTCAGGTTTACTTGGCCGCAATCGAGGGTCATGTATTGCAGGATATTGTTCGTGTGTTCCGCGCATTTCTAGAATTTTGCTACCTCATACACCGAAATACCATCACTGAGAGCACTCTGGAGGAGATTGAAGATGCCCTCTCCCGTTATCATCACTACCGCACAATTTTTACAGAGTCTGGCACAATTCCCACCTTCTCGTTACCACGCCAACATTCCCTTGTCCACTACACCTATCTTATTCAGCGATTTGGTGCTCCCAATGGACTCTGCTCGTCTATCACCGAGAGCAAACATATTAAGGCCATCAAAGAGCCATGGAGGCATTCAAGCAAATACAAAGCGCTTGGTCAAATGTTAGTTACTAATCAGCATCTCGATAAGCTGGCTGCTGCGCGTGTTGACTTCGCCAATTGTGGGATGTTGGACAATACTTGTCTTGTGGCAGAACTCGAAGCTCTTGGTAAGTTTTAAAATCAATTACTATTATTGTCTGTGCTGCTAATTGACAATGACAGGCCTTGCAGACACAGATAGCAACAACAACCCCAATGTCCAAGTCTATCCCTTGCCCAGTAGTGTTGCCAATGAGGCGCCGGTAGCAGTAGACCATGGACTAACCATTTTACAAGCGCACACACGGCTAGCACAGACAGTTCGTGAGTAGCATTTACACACGTCTATCTTCCTGAGTGTGCTCTAGTACTAAAGCTTTGTGTGATGCAGAAAGAAAACACGCTCGCAATGTATTGGCGCTAGCCAAAGAATTGGAACTTCCCTGTTTTCCTGATTTGATTCACCAGTTTCTTTTTGAGCAGACGCACAGGCCAGACGATGACCAAGATCCAGCGGAAATTCCCCTTGCTGGCTGTCCTAGGTTTGCAGGGAAAATCTCTGTCTTTAACTCTGCATCTTCAAGGTTCTACACACCAAGCGACATTAGTGGAATCGGAGGCATGCGAGTCGAACATATCCGTGCATGCCCTTTGTGGCGGAACGAAGCTCCACGCAACGACTGCATTTTCGTCAACACGGGATCCAGTACAGAAGGCATGCGAGGACTCGAAGTCGCAAGGGTCCGCGCCTTCTTTTCATTCAAATATAGCGGTGAAAATTTTCCATGCGCCATCGTGCGCTGGTTTGACGTCATCGGAGACTCACCTGATGAAGATACTGGGATGTGGATGGTTTGTCCAGCGTACAGTACTAACCACGCACCTTTACATAGTATCATACACGTGGACACGATCTACCGTGCTGCTCACCTCATCCCCATCTACGGCAGGCATTTTCTTCCTCCAAACGTCAATCTACATGTTTCTTATGACTCTTTTTGGGCTTACTATGTCAACAAATTCATTGACCATCATGCGTTTGAAATTGCTTCATAATCTGTTCGAGTTATACCACCTGCTGCATGTTAATTACCATTTGTATGACTTGAATCTGATTTTTTGGCTTTTCCGTCTTTTTTGCGTTTTGACACTTTGTGCGACTCAAGGACAATTTGATTTTTATGACTTGTGGTGTCTTTCAGTCACATTGCAAACTTCATTCAAATTACAACTGCGATTAACTGTGATTAAGAGGCACAAAGCCAAAAAAGAAATATGTGATTTTGCTGATGCGCCATTGTGTGTGGCACAATAAGTATCGCAAGTACTGCGCTACAACTTGTACTACATATACAGTCATTTTGGCATTCCCGAAGTACCATTGAAGATTTCAAAGAGAAAAGAGGCTGGACAGATTGACCAGATATATCCTTGTACCAAGTGGTAAGCTGAAAACATATGATCAAGAAGGAACGACTACTATGCCTTCCTTCTTTTATGGTCTGGCTAGGCGAGCTAAGGCGAGCTCTGACGAGTTAGCGAAGCCATCGCCCACATTTATGTCAATGTCTGAAACCTTCTATCAGCGGGTCTGCCTACGGGAGACTAGCTTGACGCTGTAATCATCAAACGCGGCAACCCACTGCATAGTCTCCCCTAGGCCTAGGTAGACCTTAGACGAATGAAGATAGCCCTTCCCTCTGCTTCTAACTGAGCGGAGTTTTGCACTTGCCGTTGTTCGGCATGTCACGTATCTCAGTAATCACGCGTTGATTGACTTTGACGCGTCGACGACACGTCTGTAATTAAATCTTATAATATGGCTTGCCACTCTTTCAATATATACGGAAGTTTCATTCACCAGCATACGGCTCAAGCTCCCAGAGTCCCGGGGACGACTTTCCTTTATTTCAAAACCCTCTAACTCCTCATCTCACGTACACTCTACCAGCACTTTACGCCACGCCAGCGTTTTATTCCGCACTTCGTTCACCTCCACCACCTCCACCAGCGTCACGCAAGAAACGGCCGCACGTAATCATAGCAACCCACCGATATACTTTTCCGTGAATGTGTTCCAGCCTCTGATCATCAATCATCGGCCACATCTTCCTGCACTCTTCCCGTCCCGCAATGAATGCGATCAACGCTTGGCATAAATGGGCTCTCAAATTTGGGAGGATTGCGCCGGGAGTTTCGAGTCGTGCATAACGGCAACGATATTGATAGGAGTTGGCGTCCATTCTCCACCTTTGCCTGGTATGGACTGGGCGATGACGATCACGGAAATTAGGAAAATGAACATGTGAGACATCTGACTCTAACCGAGTGGTATTCAAAGGAGAAGACATCCGAGGTTATCGCAGCTTGTTCTTCAAAGGTTCCGTTATACCGCTCGTCCGTGTGTGACACAGATCCGCTGAGCCGGGCCCAGTGCTGATAACGGCGGAGATATCATTCCAACAGAGTCGTCGCAGCCCACCGTTCATGCTCGTCTGAAAATCGAGTTATCTCCGATGTTGGCCTAAGCAAACAAAATAGAAGGAAGATAGTCGTCCTGTCTTTATATGATACAAGGTGCATCTCCATCACTCCTTACTATGTGGTGTTGGGGTTCATATGTTTGCAGTTCACATGTTTCTGGATTGTTTATCCGCTGACCCTGTGATTCTGCCTATACTAGAGGCTCCCTGAAGTCGTTGCGCAACCATGCTGATGAAGCTGCCGAGTGCTTCGCAAATATATATATATTCTAGGATATAAAAGCAAGCCACCTTACCTACTACCAGTATCAGAACTATTATTCGAGATCCACTTGGCGCATCCCATACTACCTAGCACAAGCTATGCGTTTCTCATTCCTCCTCGCCTTTGTTGCTGCGTTGACAACATCTATCTCTGTCAGTGCTGACACTGCTGAGTCAGCTGCCAACTGG